GGAAACGGGTACTTGGTAAGGATGGCAAATCAATTGAGGAAGTAGTGAAACTCAATCATTTGAGATGGCTGGGACATGTATTGCGCATGCCCGACCACCGACTGCCACGACGTGCGATGTTTTATGGTGTAGAAGTTGGTTGGAAGAAAGCTAGGGGCGACCAGACCAAAACATGGCACAAATCCATGAAGTCACTGACAAGTGGACTGAGTCATGTTGGTAGGTGTAGACTACCTGGTTGGGGACCGCGAGACGATAGCAACCGATGGTTAGAGACCTTGAATGACATGGCTCAAAATCGTTTGCAATGGCGCAGATGCATCCACTCTTTGTGTTCTCTCAAACTCTAATCTTCTGAATTCTTCATGTCCTTTATTTTCTTTCCCAATTTATTCCACTGGACTATACTCCTTTAATAACATCATCAAACCTTAATGTCCCCTATCTCTACTTATACTTTCAGTACCTCTATCACTATGGGATTTGAATTGATAACTGAATCTCTGTGCTAAGGTGGTATGGCAACTCGAACTGATGTACGTACGTACGAAGTTCCACGTTGTTACTGACTGACTGAGACGGAATTCCAGGGGGTAGTGGGGCAACATTTTCATGGTTGAACTTTTCCAACCTATTCCCCGCATTGTGAGAGAGCGGCATCGCTGCAGACGCTGATCTTCCAAAAGGAAACACCTTACTGCTGTCATACTTCCTTCAGGTAGCAGTACGATTTCGCCCTTGGATTTTAAGTTACCGTCCTCCATCGCATGTTAGGATCTAAAGGAGCATATGTTCCAACCAATATAGGTCAGTTGAGTCATCACGACAGGCAAGCCCAATCACCACGTTAAGGTAATAGCTACGGTCGGGGCCTATCACGTATCATTACTGTTTACTTGTTTTTCGTTTGAAATTTGTATTCCTTTGTCTCATGTCATCTTTTTATTCTATGTGACACGTAATTTTTTTCGAGCTCAGCTGTACCAGAATTTATTTATCTTAAGGGAAATACACGGCGTTGCTATATGGTAGCGTGACAAATCTCGGACCGATACATATCCATGCTAGATTCTACTTTTTTTTTGATTATTTTTCATTGATATCATGAAAACGACCATAGTTTATGTGAAATGTAGTAAGAGTACGTATTAACTACTTTTCTGAATCAATACCGGGAAATATGTGGTTAACTGGAATGTGTCAATGTCAAAAATGATTCGATATAAACAGGATTAATCAGCTATCAAGAAAAGATCAAAATAAATTGAATAATGCAAAAATGGTAAACAAATAGGACTGTAATAACTAAATAGGAGGACTGTTGTAACGTACAATGGTCTCATCGACACATCATAAAAAGTACATCTCACAAGTTATATATATATATATATATTGCTAAGTTCGTGACATGCTTCTATATTTCTTTACTGCTTAATCACGGGTTAAATAACTTAATGCAAACATATCCGGATAACGTTGAATGACATAGGTTGAAACCTCGTACCTTAATATTACAAGGATGCTTTTCTGACAAGTGATAGCTAGTTGCAGATGATCTATAAACTTTTTATTTTCAGGTAGTTAATCTTAAATAGAAGCTACACGAAATAAAATTACCACTTCAAGCTATCGCTACCACTATTACTTGCCTATTTAATCCAAAGATACTATGATCTTACGGGATGTCCATTCGCTTGTAGGTAGTAATGGAAGTCCTTACAGATGATAAAAAAAATACAGAACACATGTCCCTTGATTCATTCAAGGCTTTTTAAAGCAAATGAAATCCAGTCCCAGTGGTCGGCAAGCATAAACTACACATGATCTATAGGTTAGTTTTTGCGTCAATATGCTTTTTGGGAAGATGCAGCACGTAATTGTGTACCATGTACCATCAATGTCTAGAAACTTATTCAAATTAAGCGGTTTATATGCTTAAAAATTGTGAACTGGATATTAATATCAGATGGATTTTGTGGATATTATAGTAATTCCAATGATCATGACTACCATGGAAAACATGGAAGAACTGGACAACCGTTTCGTCCTATTGTGGGACTCCTCAGCAGTGCGCATCCACGACCCATCTGATATTAATTAACATGTGCTCACTAGTGACTAGCTTCAAGAGGTATATCGTGGAGTTCTAGTGAGAAGTAGTGACCAGTGGAGTTCAACCAAATCTGTTGTGAGATAGTAACTCACTGAAGACAATGGTGGATATGTCGCTCAATTTCGTGGATTAGTTGAAGTTAGACACCAACACTGTTGGATACCTGCCCAGTGGTCTAACAGTTAAGTGCTCGCGCGCGAAACCAGTAGGCAGGGGGCGAGATCGTGGATGCACACTGCTGAGGAGTCCAACAATAAGACGAAACGGCCGTCCAGTGCTTCCAGGTTTTCCATAGTGGTCTAGCTTCAACTGACTCATGATCTTAACCATTAGAACTGGATATTACCAAAACCAGGAGTAGAATGGGAAAAGCTAGGAACAAAGCTATTTTGTATTAATCGAAAGTTCATCAAGGGTGCACATCTTTTTATTTTGCTTTTTATTAGCATTCATAATTAAAAAAAATAGTTTACTTTAAAAGAGTAAATCAGTTTATGAGGTTATGAATCTTCATCGACTGAGATGGTTGGGCCACGTGCTGCGTATGCCTGAACACCGATTACCACGACGCGCAATGGTAACCGGTGTTAGGGATGACTGGAAGAAAGTTAGGGGCGGCCAAACCGAAACGTGGCATCAGTGCTTGAAGTCACTAACTTCTGGTCTGAGCCATGTTGGTAGATTCAGACTGCCTGGTTGGGGTCCGCGTGACTATCGTAACCAATGGTTGGAGACTCTTGGTGACATAGCTCAGAATCCATCACAATGATGTCGGTGTATACACTCTGTCTTCCTTTAAACTAAGAGATTAAAATCACTTCAAATCTTTCTTTCTACGAACTAATTCTATCTTCCTGTACTATCTCCTTATACACAATCTTTCTTCTATATATTACCACCACTGAATTAACTACTCCTATGAATCCGGTGTTCATCTTGTTGTGCTAATGCGGTATGGCAACTTGGACCGATGCACGTATGTGCTTGGTCCTACGTTGCAGCTGACTGACTGACTAACTTTAAAAGAGTGAATTTATTTCCAAAATCTTGACTATTTTGGAACTCGTATCCGATTGTCAAATTAATTACAAATGACAACATCATTACAACATCATTAACAATAAGTTACGCATCACTTTTTATTTTTTAAATGTAACAGATTACAATCCTCTAATGGGTGATACTGGGAAAACTTACAGGCCAACTTCACGATTTTGTTCAACTGGTGGATGACGTTAAATATCTATCCAATAATAAGAACTCAATAAGATCAGAAAGGAACACTTACTGAGTTCATCACATACACACACACGCACACACACATACTAGCCTTATTACATTTTTACACAAAGATAAAAGAACAAGGAATTTTCTTCTCTTATGATGTTGTTAATTCGAAATTGGAGCCAAATTCCAAGATTAACAACTGATGTCGTTTTTTTTTCTTTGATGTGAAAATGTGAAACGATTTTTTTATTGTGATTAAATTACTCCTGACACCAACATTCAAACAGAACCTGTATACTACTTGATTCTTACTAATTATAATTTTTTTAAAAACGAATTCAAAGTTTGTTCAGTTTTTTTATTCATTTTATTTGTGTGTGGGCTGTGATACTGCTCGGGTGCCCAGACCGAAGCAGGTAGTTTTCTTAGGGGGCCACACCCGGAGCCTTCGACCTAAAGATCTGATCCACAAGGCAGTGGAGCAACGTCAGGAGATGCAGTCCGATGGTAGCCGGTGACCAATAATTGGTTTATACACCATTTGTTCCCTCAGGATCCTTGAACCCATGTGAAGCATTGGTTTGGAATCAGGGTTTTCCAACTCCCCTAGGTGGACTCACCATGTCCATCGATCCGGTTAAAGAGCCAAACATTCACTTTTCTTACTCTCATTTTCGTAAACAACACCCTGCCACGAGAAGGTGGTGGGTAGGACTATCCTGGCAGAGGTTGTATATGCGTGGCCGTTCGAGAGAAAGGGCGGGCCCTCCCCACTCTCAGCCGTACCGGGGCTTCAGTGAATAACAGTAATTCAATGCAATTACCACTAGAGCATGGACAATCATAAAATTGGTCGCTACTCATTGGTTAATTAATGTCAATATTCAGCTTACAGAAGGTCAGGTGAGGTTCGAATAAGATCCGTCGTAAACATTTTAGATCAGTCAGTCAGTCAGCTGCAACGTAGGACCAGGCACGTATATGCATCGGTCCAAGTTGCCATACCGCATTAGCACAACAAGATGAACACCGGATTCATAGGAGTAGTTAATTCAGTGGTGGTAATATATAGAAGAAAGATTGTGTATATGGAGATAGTACAGGAAGAAAGAATTAGTTCCTAGACAGATATGAAGCGATTTTAATCTCTTAATTTAAGGAAGACAGAGAGTGTATACACCGACGCCATTGTGATCGATTCTGAGCCATGTCACCAAGAGTCTCCAACCATTGGTTACGATAGTGAAGCCTGATGAACCATGTTCGAACCCGTCAGGGAGCATCAGTTCTTTCGAGATTACAGGTATGGATTGCTGATGTGTACCAACTAGCATGAAATCTAGATCATACGTGGTTTCCTACCGACTAACTCTAACCATCTAACATCAATCTTAAACATTCAACTAATTCTTTAATGAAATATGTATCTCATTTAGTAAATACAAGTTTTAAGTACTCCATTTCGAGCCGTGCACATATTGTTATGATCAAAGTATCAAACAGTTCAAATCGAAATAGGAAGGTAGAGAAGTGAGTTTCTCATTGATAGCCAACTGGTTAACAGATGCGAATTGTAGCCAATCTACGGTAGATAGGTTTGTTTAACTCGTTTCTAATTAATAATAACCTCCCCCTGTTTACAACCAATTATCGATTAGATCAAATGATTAAAACTTTTATTGCGTTGTGTGTGTACATATACGTATGTATGAAAGTTACAAGCTGTGAAGTAACAATGAAAAAAATGCGTTTAGAATTGGAAAACGTCTTTACACAAATATCATTTAATCCCATCTCGAACGTTTTTGCTTAGGATCCGTTTGTACATTTTGTGGTGTAACTAGAGATGATCGAAGTTGTTGCGGACATTGGGATTCTTCTGAGTTACTACTTTGAACAATAAAACTGTCTGCAAGTTGAGGTCTATCAGTTGTATTTGATGATTTCAACATTTCTGGATGTGTATATCTACTAGCTTCAACACCAGCCGATACAAATCTTCGATTATATTGAGCTGAAAACGCTGCTTTCATGGCAGAAAATCGATCTGCTTGTAAACCTATGGTGAATGAAATTGATAATAACTGTTTTTTTTTCAATTTCACAATAACTTGTCAGTAAAAAGAAAACGAGTAAACTTAAATCTTAATTTTGATTGAACTAAGATACAGACTTCAAGTTCAATTTTGTCAGTTGAGTTTTTTTCCGAAGATCGTCTTCCAAGTCAGTCGGCCATTCATAATGGACATAAAATCTAGCACAATATCCATAGGTCCAATTTTTCATATATATACAAAACTAATCACAGTGTGATGAAATCAGAAATGTGAACAGTAAATAAGGTAAAAGCGGAAGTAGTAAGACACCGGAGAGCATGTTGATTTGAAGGGAAGGCAATTAAATACAGATATAAAAAGTATGAGATAATTAATATTGGCGCTCACTATTCTGGAGCAAGACAAACAATGATTTGGAGACGTTGATCGACTTGTAATTTTCACCTAGTACCATATTTTTAAATTGAATAATGTTCACTAATCTATTCCACCATAAACAAGTAGTACTTTAAACATATCTATGGTCGACGAGTTTAACAGTTGTCTACGAAAAATACTTCAGATCCGTTGACCGGACACTATTAACAACAACCTACTATGGGAGAGAACAAACTAAATCCCAGTGGAGGAAGAAATCAGAAAGAAGCGCTGGAAGTGGATAGGACACACATTGAGGAAAGCACCCAATTGCGTCACAAGACAAACCCTCACATAGAATCCTCAAGGCCAAAAGAAAAGTGGAAGACCAAAGAACACATTACGCCGAAAAATAGAGATAGACATGAGAAAAATGAACAAGAAATGGATGGAACTAGGAAAGAAGGCCCAGGACAGAGTGGGTTGGAGAATACTGGTCGGTGACCTATGCTCCATTAGGAGTAACAGGCGTAAGTAATGGTTGACGAGTATTAGGAGCGTACGAATGCCTTCTATTTTCTGAAATTATGTTTAAAAGTGAAATGAGTTGAACTGCTGTGTAACCTATAATAATAGGTAAGACGGACATTTCGCCGTCATGTGTGTAGCAACTTGGTATCATTTTATTAGTCTCATACAATTATTCTTACTAACAAAATAAAATCACGTACAATGACACTAACACCGAAGCAGCATAAATACATGCGTGTAGATTGACAGATTGGGTCAATCAAAAATCGGCCAAATGATGATGACCAACAGATGACTTACATTTCCTAAAACAGAATCATATATCATTGGTAGCTTAATCCCTGGATATACATAAAAATGAGTATACTACACATGCCAATTCAATGTAGCCAAAACATTTCCTTTAACGATCTTAGCCTTTTCACTCGATGGGCTCATGTGTAGAGAGATTGCTTTTCAATATCAGATTCAGACACCACACAACATGTTATAACTGAATAGATGGTTGAGTTTGTCCTAAGCGTTTCAAATGCTCAATAGGTCTGTTGTATTCAACAGTTTTGGTCATTAATCGGTTCATTCAGTGGTGAGTGAATGCTGCATATTACGGTGTGATTATTAGCAGAGATTTCATTTCAAATCCTTACTTTCACTGGTATTTACACTTTTCACATGACATGTTCATAGCGAATATTTCCAGGGACTTGAAATGAAATATTTAGTGAAAAATACACTGCAATATGCAATATTCACCTATTAAATGAATGAGAAAATGACTAAAATTGCTGATTACAGAATACTGAAAGTTTAACTTACCACCTGGACGAATTAATTCAGCTCCTTCACCTGCCGCTGCTGCAGCTGCCGGACCACTACGTGGACAATAATTTGATTCACTGCTATCGGATGATAAACCTAATCCTGGTCTGGCACGAGGTTGTCGAGGTTCAAATCCACCACTTGGTCTAATACAACCGTTGTTTCCACTGTTAAGCGAAGATCGATTATTTGCAAACCAAGTACACTTTAGAGCGATGTCAAGAAGTCTTTGTGGAACTGTTTGTGAACCGGATTCCAAATGCTGAACTAAACACGCTGCAAAATCAACTGGATCTTTTCCAGCAACAAATAATGTATAAGCTGTTCCTTTTGCTCCTGCACGACCAGTTCTACCAATTCGATGAGTATGTGTATCAATATCTCGTGCAACTTCATAATTGATTACATTATGTATACTAGGTATATCCAAACCACGTGCTATTAGGAAAAGATTAAGTGGAGTTTAAAGTAACATGTTAATATTATCCATGGTAAAGTAAGAGGGTAATTTTATTGTATTGTTTAATTAAATATTATCATCATTTTGCCCGCAAATGCCCTAGTACATCCGAGAGTGGGGAGAGTCCGCTCTCCCTCTCGGAATGCTCTCACACGACCACGCGTATATAGCCTCTGCCAACTAAGTCCTACTCACTGCCTTCTCGTGGTGGGGGTGTTGTTTACGAAAATGAGAGGACGAAAAGCGAAAGTCCGGCACCGGCTTTAACCGGATCCCAAACCAATGGTGCACATGGGCTCCAGTATCCTGCGGGAACAAATGGCGTATGAACCAATCGTTGGTCACCGGCTACCATGGGAATGCATCTCCTTACGATGCTCCACTGTCTTGTGGATCAGATTTTCAGGTCGAAGGCTCGGGGTGTGACCCCCTAAGAAAACCGCCTGGTTCAGATTGGGCACCCGGGCAGTATCACAGCCCTCACACAAATCAAATGAGATCTGTGTGGCGCATATGTATTTGGTGCCTGCGTGTACCAATATCTATGTGTTAAAATAAATAAATAAATACTTGATGTGGTCGGGTATGTTTGCACATAAACTATGTATGTTTGAAATATAATATTCATATAGTGGGGGCTGATTACTGTGTTTTGGATTCAGCGGGCAAAGTAGAGAGAGAAAGAAGCTACAGAATCGGGAACCAATAAGGACTTGGCAGTTGGATCTAAGTTACTAGTGCTGGTTAGATGTGTAATTGGTCAACTCAGAGATACTACGTTATGTCGATGGGGATTTTGATTGGTGGTCTTGTCACGTGACATTAGTCAGAGGCCATAAGACGATATAACTATTTGAACTTTGGTAGCCTTGTGGATAATACAATGACACTTGAAACTATAGATGCGTTGAGTTTAAAGTCTTAGTATGAACATTTACACTGGGATGCATATAAATACAGTTAGAGAATGCTAAGTACGATTAAATGGACATTCTGGATTCTACTGCAAGCTAATATCTAAAGATAATCAAAGCATAAAATCTGCTATTCCATATCCTTATACTAACTTTTTATTTATTTTCAGGAAAAAAACTGCTTAAGATTTAGATTTTTATGACTGTTTGTCGCCATCCCATTGTCGTCGCTATAAATGGAAATGTACTGTTTATTTTTTGTTTGTATACCTAGTTGGGAACTTACATGCAACATCGGTAGCCACTAAGATAGGAGCTTCTTGCCGTTTGAATGCTTGTATCACAGTATTACGGTCGGATTGATGCATATCTCCATGGATGAGAAGAACCTTTAAGTCACGTGACTTCAACTTTTGTGCAACCTCTTCACTGTGAACTTTACGTGTCACAAAAATAAGTACACTTCCCTCTAGAGAGAAAAAGCGAAATCAAAATCAAATTTGGTAAGATTATAGGTAACACAATGATAAGATGTAGGTTTCAGAGGGAAAAAATAGTACGAAGTATATAAATTATTGGACTCTGAATCACGGTGTGGGCAACCGGGAAGTGATAACCGCCATCATACCTCTAACAGCACTCAAGACCACTGTATTCAAGACTGACTGAATCACTCTAAAATGTATTAACATTTGACTTTGATAATACTGAAGCAAGATCAAAAAGTAAAGTAAATACGTTTTAGTCTATGTGATTTTGAATTGTATTACATTGGAAATTGAACTATAGATTACGATAATCGTGCTGATGCTAACCAGGAGTGAAGATATACACCTCACGAGATAAATGAAACCAATTGTGTCGGCTGATGTAATGTCATAGTCGTCGGTCGCCGTTGGTCTCTATTTCCAACCTTTTAAACAGGACACTATTGCTTGTTGATGGTGCTCAAACAGTAACCATGCATCACACATTCCTCATAACCACTTCATCAACAAAACATAAATAATTAATACTGTTATTACAACAAACCTTAAGAAAACAGAAAACAACTTAACAACAAAACTTTTCTCACACTTTAAAAATGATTACTTACCAGTGGTTAATCTGACTAAATTGCGTGTTAACCAATCCCACTTCTGTTCGATTTTATCGAAAATCTCAACATGTTGAGTTATGTCTTCATTAGCCTAAAAAACAAATACGCATTGAACAGTATTCTTATCTCCAGTTTTGAGACATTTCAATTAATGACAATAGGTGTATGTGTACCTGCCCAAACGGTTACACTAGTTGAGCATGAGGGATGGCCTATTTTAAGTTTTTGACCATACTTCAGAAGGTCTTCAGTAAAAAAAGAGAAAATTTTTAATAGTTCAATAACCTATAGATATCTCTTGGACACAGGAAATCAGATCGATACTTTGAATTTTTCTGAAGGGAAGCACGGGATACAGTGGACATCTAGGATGCAGTTGGATGATCTGGACTTCGCAGATGATCTGGCTCTTCTATCGCATACGCAACAACAAATGCAGGAGAAGACAACCAGTGTAGCTGCAGCCTCAGCAGCAATAGGTCTCAATATACACAAAGGAAAAAGCAAGATTATCCGATACAACACAGCATGTAACAATCCAATCACAATTGACGGAGAAGCTTTGGAAGATGTAAAAACCTTTACATATTTGGGCAGTATCATCGATGAACACGGTGGATCTGATGCAGATGTGAAGGCACGGATCGGAAAAACAAGAGCAGCATATTTACAAGTGAAGAATATCTGGAACTCAAAACAGTTGGCAACCAACACCAAAGTCATAATTTTCAATACAAATGTCAAGACAGTTCTACTGTATGAGGCGGAAACCTGGAAAACTACGAAATCCATCATCCAGTAGAAACAGGTGTTTATTAACAGTTGTCTATGTAAAATACTTCAGATCCGCTGGCCGGACACTATTAGCAACAACCTACTATAGGAGAGAACACATCAGATCCCAGTGGAGGAAGAAACCAGGAAGAAGCGCTGGAAGTGGATAGGACACACCTTGAGGAAAGCACCCAACTGCGTCACAAAACAAGCCCTCATATAGAATCCTCAAGGTCGAAGGAGGAGAGGAAGACACATTACGCCGAGAAATGGAGATAGACATGGGAAAAATGAACAAGAATTGGATGGAACTAGAAAAGAAGGCCCAGGACAGAGTGGGTTGGAGAATGCTGGTCGGCGGCCTATACTCCATTAGGAGTAACAGGCGTAAGTAAGTAAGTAACTTTGAATTTTTGAAGGTGATTAGAAAACAGTCAAGTTCCATTTTCTTGAAGCCATTGACACTAGGCCTTAGAAACCTGATTTACATGTTCAAACAGAAATAATTACTGGCCGTTCTTTTCCCTCAAAACACAAACCCTATGTCGTTATAATCTGAAAGAATTTCGATAGTGATGACAGTAAAGAAAACTAAATATTGAAGGATGAGATTAGTTCGTTTGTAAAAGATGAAAATTTTTAAAACAGATTCATTTATCATCTCGTTGATAAGGTTCGTCGGTAGAAGAAGATATTAATTTGTTTAATATTAATTTTGATGTATTTACTACATGAAATGTCTATACATGATCAGTTTATTTCTTTACATTGAAATTATGATATAACTTTTATCCCTAAGTTTTAACCTTTGTTTTATGAGAAGACTGATGATTGTAACTTTGATGGTTTGTGTAATGAATTTCCAATCTCTAGAGCTGGTTCTTCCGTAGAATCTCGGTTTTCACCATGAAGCATCATAATTCTTCTAAATGAAGATCCTTCAACTAGAAGGACAGAGTTTAAATGGTTTATCCTATTTAGTGTTTTTTTAGCAAGGATGTTTTTTAAGGGATGGGGGTTGCTGATCCCATACCGAACTCTCCTCCTTCACTCGGGCATGGGACCGGAAGTAACTCTAGAAGAGCTTCTCCACGAAGTGCAACATGCGTAAGTATAACTGGTTCTGAAGAACAAAATCATAACAGGTTTGCAACTACATAATACATATGCTAACTATTTGTGTTTGGAATTTCTTTTTATTTTAGGGCTGCAAGTCTCTTGTGCTGTGTATCATTATTAGTTACTAAGATGCCTGGAGATTCAAATTTAAATACGTGGGAATAAAAATGTACATCATTTATTCAAGTTGATCAACAATGTAACTACACAATTGAGTAACATTAAGATAAACGAAATCAAATTTACATGATAATTTCCAGAAAAAGTACATTGATTCATGTATGAATGGTAGATGTAAAATGTGTACTTCTGCTAAGATGAGTATATGTGAGCATGGAACTGAAACGAAATCCTATCACCTAACACACACACACATGCATATACATATATAATGATTGTTTAATTCATTCAGTAAAATTTTATTCTAAAAGAAATTAGAAATATGAAAGATTACAAAATTCATAAACTTTAACACTTACCTCGCCTAATTCACCTTGTATAATACGAACAGGATCAAGTAGAATATCTCTGGCCAATCGTTCAAGTCGACGTTTAAATGTGGCACTGAAGAGAAGAGCTAAAAATTGGTTTGAATTTATGTATATTCTATTTACTTAAAGAATAAGCATTTTAAGAGATCGAATAGTGAATGATATACTACTATATTAATGACAGGAAGGTATATTTATAATCAAATCGGATAGTGATTTTCTATTGAGTGGGATTCATCATTTCAAACATTAAAAGTTGCAAGTTCTAGTCCTGTTCCACTGATTTATAGAAGCTGGACAGTAGTAGTAGTAGTATCACTATTAGCAGTCATACCTAGAGTGTGGCTGAAAGCTGAGTGTAGAAATTTAGGCATTGGCTGATCATAATAAATGAGCGACCAATTTCATGTTTGCCTATTCCTTAGTGTTGATCGGATTCTATTGATTAGGTGGTGATGTAGCCATTAATCTTAGTGACCAGACACTGCTTGTACTATGTTTTGATCCTAGTTGTTTAGATGTAGTCGGTTGTATTATTTATTTATTTATTTTAACACATAGGTATTGGTACAAGGAGGCACCAAATACATATGCGCCACACGAATCGCAATTGATTTGTGTGAGGGCTGTGATACTGCCCGGGTGCCCAAACCGAAGCAGGGTTGTAGCCTGAATAACTCAGTGGAAACGTCTTTGACCGTGAAGCAGTGAGACATGGAATCGGATCGTACAGGAAGCATCAGTTCCCTATGGACTAAAAGTACCTCTTGTTGATGAGTGTTGAACAGCACGAAACCTAGGTCCTTGGTTTCTTGTCAAATACATCTAGCCAACTAACACATGGATCTATGCTTGGTTATCGCACTAAACTGTGCTCGGTTGTTGACTGACGTTATCTTAAATTCGCTACTTCATTATTCTTAAATATTTAACTTTGCGACAATCGGAAAACACATCAGGTAAGAATAAATAGCAGGATATATCTGTAAATCATTTTTTGTGAAGGATGGAACTCATAGGTTTGAAGTCATATTGATCCAAACAAGTTAGTTGCTTATGAACGACTGACTGACTCACCACGTAGGACTTCTCATAGTTCCATAGTTTCTTTTCACTTTCATAATATAACAGAAAATTACAGCATAATTTCCACTGGTTTCTAATTCTGACTTATGCTTGGTAACATTTTAAGCCACAACTTCTAGGACCCTAATTGAGGAATGATGATAGACGGACAGATCCAGTCTTATGATACACGTATCTTTCATACTACAGGTTCATGTCATAAACTGATACACGGGAAAATTTCCAAGGTGTAGTTCACTCCATACATAAATTTCAGTACTTTTTGTTAACTGCACATCCATAACACTACATAATATAACATTTTTACTACTGGTTTACTCAGTACTTGCTTCTTTGTCTTATTACAACATGTAACTGATAAATAAATCAGACTATAATATTGATTTGGTTGAACAATACAATCCCCAAAAAAAACTGTTTTCTATATATTTTTTACATTTCAATATACAATAGTGACTTGTGATTGTAAGAAACACCTAGAACTTTAGAACAACTTTGAATCTGACTACAAAAATTGCTGACATTCAGCTAAAGTGTAGTGAACAAGAACACCAATGGGGATAATGGAATATATTTAAGCACATAATTACAGAGCATCTCAATAAAATCTGAGAACCATATATTAAATCGTTAATTTGCAGAATATCAATCCATCGTATCAAACTTGACTGTTCCTGGTGCCAACATCAATCCATTGTTTCAGATTTCATTGTTCATGCGTTTTCATATCAGTTGCGTTTCGTTCCTGCTCTTTCCTCATCGACCTTCTACTGAAATACATTCTATGCCTGACTACTGTCATATAGTACTTGTGTGAATATAAGTAACCCACACCACAATGGTACTTAGAATTTAAAACTACAAATACATAGATCATCTCAATTTACCCAATCAGATAATTTAACCCACTGAATAAAGTTCAGTCTACAATTCAATAACGTGATATCATATTATAATCTTGATTTGACCAACCCTAATCGTATTTCTAATCTCCCCATGTTAGACTCTACAGCATATTGGGATACCATTCAGTGACTGAGTTCATGTACAACACATATATCGATGAAGTCAGTCAGTCAGTCAGCTGCAACGTAGGATCAGGCACGTATATGCATCGGTCCAAGTTGCCATACCGCATTAGCACAACAAGATGAACACCGGATTCATAGAAGTAGTTAATTCAGTGGTGGTAATATATAGAAGAAAGATTGTGTATAAGGAGATAGTACAGGAAGAAAGAATTAGTTCGTAGAAAGAAAGATTTGAAGTGATTTTAATCTCTTAGTTTAAAGGAAGACAGAGAGTGAATACACCGACGCCAGTGTGATCGATTCTGAGCCATGTCACCAAGAGTCTCTAACCATTGGTTACGATAGTCACGCGGACCCTAACCAGGTAGTCGATGAAGGTTTGCATATGGTTAAATAACAGAAAAAAGAGTAAAATATTTACTGTGATCAATATTATACAATCACAAAAAAAAATTCATTAGACTTACTTTGTCGATCAGGTCTTACATGATTGGCAATTGAACGAACCTGAGGTTCTAAATTTAAATAATAGTAATAGTAAATAAATAAACAATAATATTCGGTATAATTTTTATAAAAATAATTTATCATAATCTATCAAAATAGAGTTAATAAGTCGTTGAGAAAAATCAGATAGTTGTTTTAAGATTCATTAATAATGGGTGTGAACGTCAACATACTCAAGACCTTCAGTATTTTACTAGGTGATACTGTGACGTGTGCTACTTATGTAGACATAAGTAGTATATGATGTGAGTCATGAACAAAATGTCTGGCAGCCGAGAGACGAGAAGATCGAACAATAAAGAATGAAGAAAGAATGCAATTTGTATGAAAATGCAAGAACAAAAGAATTCTGAGACAATTGATGAATAATTTGCAAATTAACGATATAATATATGATTTTCAGATTTTATTGAGATGCTCTGTAATTTGTTGTTAAATATATTCGATTGTCCCCCATTGAAGTTCTTGATCACTACAATAGCACTAGAACTTAAACTATCGAGTGTTAGAAATCAAATAGTTGATATTTCCAATTCTAATTGATTCATGATAATAGGGAATAACAATGATATGTGTAATAATTGTATCATTACGACTAATTATAAGCCATATTACTCAACATCGTCAATCATTGGTTACAATGATTGCATGGACTTCAACTAACTAATTTGAGTCTACCAACATGATTCAGTCAAATAATCACTGACTTTATAGATCAATGCCTGATCTCTCAGTTGTTGTTTTTTTTTAAAAATCAAAATTACACGTAGAGGTAATTGGTATTTGGCAATGCATAATGTATGTCTCAATCACCTCAGTAGGTAAACTTGCACAATCTTATCGTGTGATATATGCCTAGTATCCTGGTATCGAATAACATAACAGTATAACCAAAGAAAGTTTTCTATTTTTAATGATTACACACTTTACAAGTTCACAAGCTGAAATAGGTTGAATGAATCAAAAGAAAACAGAAATAAAACATTGAAAATACAAACTAAGTAAGAACAAAAATACGGACATATGAACAGATCAATTACAATAGACGTACACATACAAGCACACACACACACATATATATGATATACATACACTTAGAAAATAAATTTACCAAACCCTAAATTGAACATTTTATCAGCTTCATCAAATACAAGATATGTAACTCGACGTAAATTAGTTGATTTCTTTTTCACAATATCAATTAATCTACCCTAAAACATTATAGAAACAATTTTTTTTAAAAAAAAAAGAAAAAAAGAAAGAAAGAAATAAGAATGAACAATTGGGAAAACGGAACAAATTCAAACTATTTGATATGTATATAAATAAATAAATTTATGTTTTATAACATTTACAATCTTTAATAAGTGATCTTCTTATAAAGGTTATAGGCCCCCGGTGCTTTCAACGGGGGCCTATGCTGTGTCTCCGAAACACGCATACAGGATCCTAGTGTGGTCATTCACTTGACCTCACCTCGGCAAAACGGAGAGCCAACGAGATACACCCTCCGTGTATCTGGCGACCCGATGGCTAGTTCTCGTGGACTGGCAGGTGTAGGCATAGCACTTAGCATGAGGGCGGAACAAGCGCTATTAGAATGGATCCCCGTTAACAGTCGTCTATGCGCTGTTCGGCTAAACGGCTCGGTAAGAACTCGGAAGGATAGGGACACACGTCGTTGCCTTTTCGTCGTTTCTGCCTACGCTCCCACTGACTGCAGTTCGGATGAAGTGAAAGATGAATTTTACAGAATGCTGTCTGAACTTCTTCAGAAAGCTAAACGTTCAGACATAGTACTCGTAGGAGGTGACTTTAATGCCCAGGTAGGTAGCTTAAACAAAACAGAAAGACATTTAGGTGGGTATTTTAGTATTCCGGCACAGCGAACAGATAATGGTGATCGTCTGCTGCAACTGTGCTCAGACAATCGTTTATTTTTAGCAAACACAAATTTTAAGCATAAGGAGAGACATCGTCTAACATGGCGACCCCCTGCACCAAACCAACGATGGACTCAAATAGACCATATTGCCATCAGTCATCGTTGGAGAGGGTCAATAGAAGATTGTCGATCATTCTGGAGTACCTGCTTGGACTCCGACCATGCCCTAGTACGAGCACGCATCTGCTTGCGCCTCACTGGACGCAAAAGAGCCACACAAAAAAGACTCATTAGAACCGAATTGAGTAATGAGAAAGCCAAAAGTAGGTTCCAGGAACAACTGAGGTCACACTTAGGTAGTTCTGAAAACGAGACTGACCCAGATGTTGCTTGGAAAGTTATACAAGCAGCTGTGGAAACAGCAGTGACATCTACTAGCGATTCAAACCACAGGGTTACAAAGAACCAATGGATTTCGTCAAGGTCTATTGCACTGATAGATTCTCGCAAACTCATCCCATCAGGTTCTGAATACGATGAAGAGCGTAAAGAAATCAGATCTAGATTAAGCAAAAGTCTAAAGAATGATCGTGAGCAGTGGTGGGCAACGAAAGCAAAAGAGATGGAAAAGGCGGCGGCTATAGGGAATACAAGACAACTCTACAGACTAATAAAAGAAACTGGAATTAATAAATCAAGTGTAAGTCAGACCATTTCGGAAAAAGACGACACTCTCATCTGCTCCCAGTCCAGACGCTTAGAACGATGGGCGGAACACTTTAAGGAGCAGTTTAGCTGGCCTTCAGCTACTCTACAACTACCCTCTATTCCCAGACAGTGTGAATGGAACATTGAAGTAGGTCCCCCAACTCTAGCTGAAGTTCAAAAGGCTATAGCTAATCTGAAACGAGGACGGGCAGCTGGTCCAGATGGATTGGCCCCAGAGGTCTTTAAGGATGGTGGTCTAGTCTTAGCGATTAGGTTGACTAATATTTTAGCTAAAATCTGGGAGTTAGACGTTATCCCATCTAACTGGTCACAATCACTTATCGTCCCAATATTTAAGAAAGGGTCAAAATCATCCTGTGACAACCACAGAGGGATTAGTTTGACTAATATAGTATCTAAAATACTAGCTTCGATAATTTTCGGACGCCTAACTAAAACTCGTGAGCTGCAAACACGTGAAAATCAGGCTGGCTTCAGACCTGGTCGTGGCTGCATCGACCACATATTCACCATTCGTCAGGTTCTAGAACACAGGCATACTTATCGGCGTCCGACAATGGTGGTATTCCTTGACTTAAAAGCAGCGTTTGACTCTGTTGACCGAAAGGTTCTGTGGCAGTGTCTGTCATTGAAAGGCGTACCTCAGAAGTACATAAACCTTGTGAAGGCTCTTTACTCGAACACTACTAGTCGGGTCAGAGCCTATGGCGAACTGTCATCTGCTTTTGCAACCTCAAGTGGCGTCCGTCAAGGCTGTCCACTTTCTCCTTTTTTGTTTAACTTTATCATAGACATCCTGATGGAAATAACGCTCTCATCGACTGACTTCTCGGGTATTGATCTCCTACCAGGAGGTCCACTTATTGACTTGGAATACGCAGATGACATAGTCCTGTTTGGTGAAGACGCTGACGAAATGCAGAGTCTTTTGTTAGCACTGAGCAACAATGCCAGAATGTTTGGGATGCGCTTTTCTCCCTCTAAATGCAAGTTGTTGCTTCAGGACTGGTCTGCATCAACACCTGAACTAAGGATAGGGGGTGAAGTAGTCGAACGCGTTGACAACTTCACTTATCTTGGAAGTCTGATCAGCCCTAATGGGTTGGTGTCTGACGAAATCTCAGCACGGATTCGAAAAGCTCGCTTGGCCTTTGCCAACTTACATCATCTATGGCGAAGGCGAGATATTCGTCTATCAATTAAGGGACGAGTATACTGCGCGGCAGTTCGTTCCGTCCTTCTATACGGCTGCGAAACATGGCCTTTAAGAGTGGAAGATATTCGTAAGTTACTAGTATTTGACCACAGGTGCCTTAGAAATATTGCGGGTATCTGCTGGGATCACCGGGTAAGTAATAGTGAGGTTAGACGCAGGGTATTAGGGAATGATGGTAAATCAGTTGATGAGGTTATGAATCTTCATCGACTGAGATGGTTGGGCCACGTGTTGCGTATGCCTGAACACCGATTACCACGACGCGCAATGCTGACTAGTGCAGGGGATAATTGGAAGAAAGTTAGGGGCGGCCAAACCAAAACGTGGCATCAATGCTTGAAGTCACTAACTTCTGGTCTGAGTCATGTTGGGAGATTCAGACTGCCTGGTTGGGGTCCGCGTGACTATCGTAACCAATGGTTGGAGACTCTTGGTGACATGGCTCAGAATCGATCACAATGGCGTCGGTGTATACACTCTCTGTCTTCCTTAAATTAAGAGATTAAAATCGCTTCATATCTGTCTAGGAACTAATTCTTTCTTCCTGTACTATCTCCATATACACAATCTTTCTTCTATATATTACCACCACTGAATTAACTACTATGAATCCGGTGTTCATCTTGTTGTGCTAATGCGGTATGGCAACTTGGACCGATGCATATACGTGCCTGGTCCTACGTTGCAGCTGACTGACTGACTATAGGCCCCCAAATGCCCTGGTACGGCCGAGAGTGGGGAGAGTCCGCTCTCCCTCTCGAAATGCTCTCACATGGCCATGCGTAAATAGCCTCTGCCAGGGAAGTCCTACTCACTGCCTTCTCGCACCACGGATGTTGTTTACGAGAATGAGAGGACGAAAAGCGAATGTCCGGCGCGTTAACCGGATCCCAAACCAATGGTGCACATTGGCTCCAGTATCCTGAAGGAACAAATGGCGTATGAACCAATCGTTGGTCACCGGCTACCATGGGACTGCATCTCCTCACGATGCTCCACTGCCTTGTGGATCAGACGTTCAGGTCAAAGGTCCGGGGTGTGCCCCCCTAAGAAAACTACCTGCTTCGGTTTGGGCACCCGAGCAGTATCACAGCCCTCACACAAATCAATTGAGATTTGTGTGGCGCATATGTATTTGGTGCCTCCCTGTACCTATACTTGTGTTAAAATAAATAATAAATAATAAAGGTTATAGGTTAGACCATTTATTAATTCATTTAATTGATGAATTCTGTATATTAGTTTATTTTTCACTAATTCTTAAAATATCCTCAACTATCCACTTAGTCAGTTAATCATTTACAATGTAGGAACAGGTATATATATATGCATCGGTTCAAGTTGCTATAGTACTCGTAGGAGGTGACTTTAATGCCCAGATAAGTAGCTTAAACCAAACAGAAAGGTATTTAGGTGGGTATTTTAGTATTCCGGCACAGCGAACAGATAATGGTGATTGTCTGCTACAACTGTGCTCAAATAATCGTTTATTTTTAGCAAACACAAATTTTAAGCATAAGGAGAGACATCGTCTAACATGGCGACCCCCTGCACCAAACCAACGATGGACTCAAATAGACCATATTGCCATCAGTCATCGTTGGAGAGGGTCAAGAGAAGATCGTCGCTCATTCTGGAGTACCTGTTTGGACTCCGACCATGCCCTAATACGGGCACGCATCTGCTTGCACCTCACTGTACGTAAAAAAGCCATACAAAAATGACCCATTAGAACTGAATTGAGTAATGAGAAAACCGAAAGTAGGTTCCAGGAACAACTGAGGTCACACTTAGGTAGTTCTGAAAACTAGGCTGACCCCGATGTTGATTGGAAAGATATACAATCAGCTGTGAAAACAGCAGTGACATCTATTAGTGATTTAAACCACAGGGTTACAAAGAACCAATGGATTTCTTCAAAATCTATTGCACTGATGGATTCTTGTAAACTCATTCCATCAGGCTCTGAACATGATGAAGAGCGTAAACAAATCAGATCTAGGTTAAGCAAAAGTTTAAGGAACGACCGTGAGCAGTGGTGGGCAACGAAAGCAAAGGAGCTGGAAAAGGCGGCGGCTATAGGGAACACATTGAGGAAAGCACCCAATTGCGTCACAAGACAAGCCCTCACATAGAATCCTCAAGGCCAAAGGAAAAGTGGAAGACCAAAGAACACATTACGCCGAGAAATGGAGATAGACATGAGAAAAATGAACAAGAATTGGATGGAACTAGAAGAGAAGGCCCAGGACAGAGTGGGTTGGGGAATGCTAGTCGGTGGCCTATGATCCATTAGGAGTAACAGGCGTAAGTAAGTAACAATTGACTTAAGTACTATGAATCCGGTGTTCATCTCGCTGTGCTAACGCGGTATAACAACTTGGACCGATGCATATATGTGCCTGGTCCTACGTTGTAGCTGACTGACTGAAGTTGGCATAGTTTATTAGTGCAACAAGATGAACACCAAATTCATAGAACCAGTTACATCAATGGTAGTAATATATACATATCAATGTAGCACAAATTAAGATTTTGGATGAAAAACATAAACATAGTGAACTTTAAGGCTTACCATGAATTCTTTAGTAGAAATTATACTTTAATATACAAGAACTCAACAAATAAATGAAGGGCGAAATGTCCAAAATCTCTGGACATAAATATAAAGTTACTGAGCATTTAAAACGTTGCAAATAACCACTGATATAAATTCAAACAGTTAAGAAGCTTGTTTGATATGATTTTTTGTTATCAGGACAGATGATAAAAGTATCATCGATAACACATCACATTATGATAAGTCTGCTACTGTAAGGTTAATTACTACCTTCCTAACCGCTTCCTATAACGATAATTTATTTATTTATTTTAACACATAGATATTGGTACAAGGAGGCACCAAATACATATGCGCCACACAGATCTCATTTGATATGTGTGAGGGCTGTGATACAGCCCGGGTGCCCAAACCGAAGCAGGTGGTTTCCTTAGGGGGTCACACTCGGAGCCTTTGACCTAAAGGTCTGACCCATAAGGCAGTGGAGCATCGTAAGGAGATGCAGTCCCATGGAAGCCGGTGACCAACGATTGGTTCATACGCCATTTGTCCCTTCAGGATACTAGAGCTCATGTGCACCATTGGTTTGGGATCCGGTTAAAGCGCCGGACATTCGATTTTCGTCCTCTCATTTTCGTAAGCAACACCCCCGCCACGAGAAGGCAGTGAGTAGGACTTAGTTGGCAGAGGCTGTATACGCGTGGTTATGTGATAGCATTTCGAGAGGGAGAGTGAACTCTCCCCACTCTCGGCCGTACCAGGGCATTTGGAGGCTATAACTATAAACTACTGCACATCAACTTTAACAATAGAGAAAAGACACAAAATATGAGTAAGAGCATTCCTCCAAGATTAGTTAATGTACAGAAAATTGAGGGTATTTAGAGATTTGCAACCGACCGTGAACTTTTAGAACTTTCTGGAAACACACTAAATATGGTAACAGTATAGGTAATTAATCAAACAAAAACGTGATACATGATCCTTCACTTTTTTTAGATGTTTCTGAGTCAAAGTTATTTACCGATAGTAGTATTAACGGTTAAACTGGAATTGTACATAATCTCTTTAATGATGAAAAAAATATAAAAAAATTAATATGTCTTAATCCAATTGTCAATGACTTCATGGTTTGGTCAACCCTAGCCTTCTTTTCAAGCTACTCCTACACCATACAACATCGCCCATCAAATTAGATGGTAGTTGAGCACCTACAACACATATCTCAACCACTTCTTGTGAAGATTTACTACTTCATCAATTGATTTCACTTCCTTACATAGTACCCTATTCCCAACCCAGACAATAGTTACTCCGTGGTCCCAAAACACATGAACAATGCTACCAAGACACCTATGATCGGATATTAGTACCTACGAATATCTTCAATTCTTAATGGACATGTTTCACATCCATAAAGTGGGACGAATAATAATGCATAAAATAAGAAAATAATGTGAAATTGTTACACCATCATGCGCCTTTGAGTGGATCAAAGATTTTAAAAAAGAAGACAGATTTAAGGTTAAAACAAATTATTTTGGCAAAACATAAAGAAGAGTTGATCTTGCTAGTGACTAATGTATATCATCCTATGAAGCATTTACAGCAAATTGACTGAAAAAATAAACAAGTAACTAGCGAGAGCAAAAGTTACAACAACCCTATCACAAATACCATATATATATATATATATATATATATAATAACTCACCGGTGTGCAAACTAGAATTTCACATCCAGCTTCACAAGCTTTTTGTTGTTCCCACAAACTTCCACCACCATAGGCACAGACAACGGTTAAATTGTATACTTTGGCTAACTTTTTAGCTTCACTATAGATTTGTAATGCTAATTCTCTTGTCGGTGCACATATCACACCGATAGGACCATCACCCAGTTTTAATTCCGGCTATATTTATACAAACATACATAAATATATTTATATATGGATATTTATTTATCAAAACTAATGTAAAGTAAACAAAATTGACCTAATATATATCAAAAAATTGGAAAATTATACTTGACACTCACTGTAGGATTTAATTACCTACAGATGAATTTCTAAACTCGTCTTAAATTGGTGAAAGTTGAATCAAGTAAGATGTTTGACTTGTAAAACTTTACCAGTAAGTAAATCAGTTCTACGAAATTTCAAACAGTAGCTAAAGGACACAAAAGAATGAATCAATAAAGTTTAGTAACATTTGTATTGGCTGTCTGAATCTTCCCATTGATGTTTCAAACTGTAACTGACCAGTTTCTTTTAGCATATTGGCATCCTGTGTGGATTGTCTCAGGTGTAAGGAGGTGGGTGGTGGCTAGCAGTAGAATCCAGGATGTGCGTCTTGTCAACCAACAATATGGGCACCAAATAAAACGCAAGAAATTCTAGGAGAGATTCTTGGCCAATCATATATTTAAGCATGTGACATTAATGTGCAATTTATAAAAGTGAGTTATTTGTCAAGGCACCCAACTTTTGATCAGGTGGAGCTACAGATCGATTGACACTATGTTTGAAAAGTTCTAAAAAGCTAAGTAGTAATGCTATTTGTTACGTGATAGGTTTAGTTTGATGCCTGATAAATGTTCTTGTGAAAGAACAATGTAGTATGAATTGGGATCAGTAATCCAACAAACATGCATATGATAATATTTGGATCTTCTAGACATCAACACAAATGAAAGTTTAACGCGTTAAATTATCTTTAAGTAACAATGGTCTATGCCTGAAGAAAAACACATACAACCATTATGGGGGTAAATGCTCCAGAGTGTTCTTGGAAATGTTTAAATACAATTGTGTGCTTAGAACTCAGGAATATCTTATTCACTGAGTTTATGTCGTGCGTGTGCGACTTTGGAAAAAGACAGAAAACGGTTTGTGTTGCAACAAAATTAAGACAATAGAGTGTTCAACATTCATTCACTAGATTCTCAGTCCAAACCCAGTTCAATCTATAGTGTTTTGAATATCCAGGAGTAATATTAAGACCGTTACGTAAATTATGCAATTCAGAGCCTAGTGAATGATCTTTTATTTGGCTATTGAATTTCAATTTTATAACGATAGCTTATCGGTTAAAGATATAGACCATCAGCCCCTGACTCACCTATGTACTTCGATATCAGCATTCCAGTACATGAAAATGTAGTCGGTTAATATGTTAAGAAAAGAATAATTAGTGAATGGTGTACACGATCTCATTGATTCAAAAATGACAAACAAATTAGGGGCGTATCCTACTTATTAAATAGTTTGTGTATACATCCAGAGTTGGAATATTGTGTCGCCTACTTCACTTTGGGCAATCGGATAGTAAACATTAGCTCTCTCACACAGTGCGGTTCATACTCAAGTCAGTCAGCTACAACATAGGAATAGGCACATATATCCATCCGTGCACGTTGCCATACTTCATTAGCACAACAACATCAACACCAAATTTATAAAGTAGTTACTTCAATGGTAGTAAAAAAAATTTCATATAAGGAATTAGTTCGTAGAAAGAAGGGTATAAAGTAATTGCATTTTCTAATAAACTTAGAGCCAGATAAACCTTCACACTGTAAATGAATGTATGGAATTTAATGTGTCAGATGTAAAGTGGTAGTTGGTGGCAGTCGATAAGAAACTCTGGACTTAGGTTTCGTACTATCTGACATTCGTCGATACAGAAACCGATGCTCCTTGGTGGATTCGATCCCATGTCAACCAACTGCATAGTCAGAGACGATGCGATGGAGCTATTTAGGCCTTGACTGACCTCTCGTAAGAGTGAGATGTATTTACAGTTGATTGGTCACTTGATCAATAGAATTCGATTGACACTAAAAAATCAACATGTATAACATTGGTCATTACACAATGATCAATCAGTTGTAAATGGAATGCGTCAGTTTGCGAATATGTATATTCAATTCAATTCAATTACACTTTTCATAGAAATAAGATAAAATTTCTACATTAAAAAAGACTATTCTTATTGTATTCTACAGATTGAACTTCTTCTGCATTATCATTATATTTAGTATAGGACATTCTGTTTAGGGAGACCGTATTTTACGAAAAGATATTGCTTATTTATTGTTGAAGTTAATTAATAAAATAAAAGAAAGAGAGAAATGATCTAAAATTGATTTTACACTTACTTGATCCATAATATGAATAATAAGTGGCCATAAGAAAGCGGCAGTTTTACCGCTACCAGTTTTACCAATTCCAATTACATCACGTCCAGCTAATATTAATGGAACAGCTTGTGCTTGAATTGGTGTTGGTTGTGTATAACCAGCTTTACGTATTGCTTCCATTAATGGTTCATCTAAGCCAAGATGAGCAAATGAACAAACAGGTCGTAATGGACTAGGTCCACTAACACGTAAACCAAGTTTAGCTCGAAGTGAATCTACACCAGCTTCATCTAAACTAGATATTTCTACATGTTCAACATAGAAATTTTTAGCGAATGGTGCATAATTTATCATGGAATGATCAATTGGAGGTAATGGATCAATAGTCTATACATACAAAGTAAATACAAAAAAGGTTATATGATAAGTATTGGCTTATGATACTTTTATATTGTCTTGTGTAAGAGAACACGAAATTAATGAAGACTTGTGATCCAATTAATTGGGTGAACAGAAATTGAAAGTCAAAACGGATAGAAGGGAAAATTGTGTTAAATTTATTAGATTCATAAAAAAGAGTAGGTCAATTGAGGCATTCAACTTTCAACTATTAAGTCACATGTTCCAGCTCTTATTCTACCTACTTCAGTTTGGTTAACAACAAAAAAAAACGAGAACTTTCATTTGTTACTACCCCTAGAACATGGTTAGTTTTAACCCTGTCACATATATCAAGGTTTAGGCTCTCTTGAATAGTGTTGACAAAAGATCATATCTCACAGACCATACAGTCTTGAGCATGAGAACATACAATGAGTTTAATGATATGTATTACCTATTGGACCAAAACAAACTGTTGAAGTTATTTTAAAAGTGCTTGTTTACAAATGATACCCTCTGTAACGGAAAGAGAACGATGAAAATCCCTCCAGCCTTTTTTGTTGGACAGTATTTTCATTTATTTGTTTCTTCTCCCTGTTATATATTTTAACCTTTGTTCAGATCTCGTTTAAGCTTTTATTAGGTGATTTTGATTAAAAACTTATCTTTTTGTTATCTAATTTTCTATTGGATATTGCCGGACTATTGACAGTGAGGTCGTGTTTGACTAAGCTTAAGGTCACGGCGTGATTTAGTGTGTGACTGTTAACCTTTTGACTGTCTGCTTGGGAGGATTTATGGAATCCCTGCAGATAGATATTTGATCCCGTTTGTTGGGAATATATTTGTTGATTCTCAGGTATCGAATCCTTTGGTATTGACTGTTTCTTTTATTGTGTTAGCGCGCTACTTTGCGTTAGAGAAACTTTTAACTGTACAGCACAGGCTGTACCGTTTGAGGTATTTTGTATTTTTGATATAATTTGTTTTATTTCTTAAATTAGAACCGTATAAATTGAGCACAGAGTTTGTGTTTTGATATAATTCAATACGAGTATCTTAAAAACGCTTTGTGGTCTATGCAAAAGAGCGTAGTCTGGCTTATTTAAATACATTTTGGTTCGTCAGTTCTGCGTTCAAACCGAATACTGGTAGTTCGGTCGTTACACCCTCTCTCCCTAAAAGTTTATGAAAAGGACAAGATAACAAAGCATTAACCTCTAAACTGATACACCAAACTACTATACAGACCTAGAACAGTTTACGATTACTTATTCAACTCTATTACGTAGAAAAAATTAAATTTTTGAAAATATAAAGAACACAATGATAGTTGTTACAGAAACTAGAAAAAACCCTGAATTGTTCACCTTTTTTTCTGTACCGATAATATTTCCATCAGCGTCATATTCATATACTTCTTCTTCATCATCACCAGGTAATCCAAGATGTGGATTTTCTTCCATAAATCTAAGATATGATTCAATTTCATCTTCTTGTTCAATATCATCACGTACACCTCTAATAAAATAATCGATAAAACAAACAAACAAACAACCATATTTATTTGATATGGATGTTCATATAATTTAAGTAATATTAAATAGGAGAGAAACTCTGATTAATCAATTAAAACCAACATCAAGACTGGCACAAATGTGGATTGTCATGAGACATCAATACAACAAGATGAATAACTTTTGATGGAGTTTTATTCTCTGAGCTGGATGGTTTGGTCGTGGAGCTTTCATCGTTCTTCTGAACGACATCATTAGCACAAACTTCAGATAGAAGTCTATCCACGACCGAACCATCCAGCTCAGAGAACAAAACTCCATCAAAATCATCCACCTGAGCTACAAATCTTCTCCATCATCTCAAGATGAATAACTAATAATGTAGGCGCGATGATAATAATTAAGACTGAACATTGATAATATGATTCGAAAAGATCAAATTAAAAAGTATATATGAAGGAATATTGGGAAAAAAAGATCAAAAGTAAGACGATCAGTGAATGCATTTGAATCATCGCGGCCTAGTTTGACTGATATCACCCCTGATGTTTCTAACCACTGATCGCAGTTGTTATATCAGACCTCAATCAGGTAGTCTGCATTTATTAAAAGTTTAGTCCAACAGTCAATAATTTCATGGACTGATGTATGTCTTGGTTTGATCGTCCCTTAATTTTCTTTCAGCTTATTTATACTGCAAATAACGTGTTTTGAGGTAGGTGCATTTATGTTGAACAGCCTAAAGCCGCCAAATAAAGATTACGATTATCTCACAAACCCTGATAAAAACATTTAAACCTCTTGACAACATCTTGGACAAAGTCAATGATTTCACAGGCTGATTTCATTTACGAAACATTGGTCGAATATAAAAGAACCATTGAGAAAGCAATGACAAAATAAATAAACAGAGTAAACAATTCAGCACATTAAGATGATCAGACATAGATCACACATAACAAATCAATATTGCCGAATATATTACACATAGAAGAAATATAAATTATATTATGATTAGAATATATCACTAATTTAATAACCAGAAGGTTGACGGTAGAAAAGAAATGCATAAGATCATGTATTGTTTTACTCTCTCCCTCTCTCTCTCTCTAACCTTTCGTCCTGTAGGTTTTGATGTAAATGGATATGGTACCTTCAGTCCCCCCCACCACACACACGCGGGTACATACATAGAGTTGTATACCATAAACAGACGTGCATCGATAGATAGATCTGAGTGGAAGCATAACAAAAATACAAATAAAATAAATATTTTCTTCAAAAACTAAAAATAATAATAAGTCACTTACTTTCCATCACCTTTGGTACTTTTCTTTGCCTTACTATTTGACTCTTTATTCACAGTTTTCTCGCCAGAATGAAGTGTTCTAACCTCTTCCTAGTTTACATATGAATAGTTGAATAAAAAACAGGTGATTTTGACGCGCGCGCATACAGACATACAGAAATAACAAAAAAACTGGTATGAAACTTAGACCAAAGGTTTCCTTTCGGTTACCTTTACCAGTTATCTCATATCAAAGCTCATTATTGGATCACATAGCTGGCTAGTAGGACTAGGGAAACATGAAATGTACTAATTAAAATCACTAAGTGAACAATTAATGTAAAAACAGAAATACTGTACTTATTCATTTAACTAATGTCAAACGAAATAGTAAACAAAGAAAAACCACATACAAGTTGATAGATTCAGAAATGTACACAGTTGCATGCCCCCAAATGCCCTGGTACGGCCGAGAGTGGGGAGAGTCCGCTCTCCCTCTCGAAATGCTCTCACATGGCCATGCGTATATAGCCTCTGCCAGGGAAGTCCTACTCACTGCCTTCACGTGGCGGGGGTGTTGTTTACAAAAATGAGAGGACGAAAAGCGAATGTCCGGCGCTTTAACCGGACCCCAAACCAATGGTGCACATGGACTGGCTCCAGTATCCTGCGGGAACAAATGGCGTATGAACCAATCGTTGGTCACCGGCTTCCATGGGACTGCATCTCCTTACGATGCTCCACTGTCTTGTGGGTCAGACGTTCAGGTCAAAGGCTCGGGGTGTGGCCCCCTAGGAAAACCACCTGCTTCGGCTTGGGCACCCGGGCAGTATCACAGCCCTCACACAAATCAATTGAGATTCGTGTGGCGCATATGTATTTGGTGCCTCCCTGTACCTATACTTATGTGTTAAAATAAATAAATAAATAAACACAGTTGCATAAGATATAACTTTTATCAATCCCATACAGATTATTAAAAATAACAAAATAACAATAGGAATAGATAGTAGATAAGTAAACAAATACGTATGGGTATACTAGTGAAGTGTTTAAAGTTGAGAAAAAGGAAGACCAAGAAGGAATACATTTACACGATTGTGATAAATCCCAAACAGTTACCTTTTAGTATATTTATACCCTCTGAAAAGGTCAGTGGCTATCTGGACATAATAGTCGGATGTTTCAAGTGAAAGGTACTGGCTTCGACTCTTAGTGTAGACATCAACAACTAGGATGCAGGTGTACCCTCCAGTTGGCGAGTATCAAGCAGAACGAAACGCAAGTCATAGATCCCACTGCTAGTCGTATACCAAATCTACTAAAACTTGTAACCAAAGACTATACCGAGGTAATCCGTCCAGAATGTACATATAGCAACAGGGATTGATCACTTACAGTACTAATGATACTACTCAGTTGCGTAAAGCGAACAAGATGAAGTGGGGTTCGAACCCAGGGCTTGGTAGCCGAGACCCCGACATCTTAATTATCGAAGTTCAGTCATTTTATACAAAAAAGAATTGTTTCATCAAATCTTTCCTTTCGAATGATTAATTATTTTTGATGGGACTATAATTTATGGACGACCTTTGAGGGACGCTAAAGTGATCTTGAGAATGACCACCCACTTACTAGGACTAACTGAAGTTTATAAACCAGTGTGAGGAACTAGAATTATGATTTATTTATTTATTTTAACACATAGGTATAGGTAAAAGGAGGCACCAAATACATATGCGCCACACGAATCTCAATTGATTTGTCTGATTTGTGTGAGGGCTGTGATACTGCACGGGTGCCCAAACCGAAGCAGGTGGTTTTCTTAGGGGGCCACACCCCGAGCCTTCGACCTGAACGTCTGATCCACAAGGCAGTGGAGCATCGTAAGGAGATGCAGTCCCATGGTAGCCGGTGACCAACGATTGGTTCATACGCCATTTGTTCCCTCAGGATACTGGAGCCCATGTGCACCATTGGTTTGGGATCCGGTTAAAGCGCCGGACTTTCGCTTTTCGTCCTCTCATTTTCGTAAAGAACAGTAGTGCCACGTGAAGGCAGTGAGTAGGACTTCCCTGGCAGGGGCTATGTACGCGTGGCCATGTGAGAGCATTTCGAGAGGGAGAGCGGACTCTCCCCACTCTCGGCCGTACCAGGGCATTTGGGGGCAGAATTATGATTTACAGTTGATGGTTAGGGTTAGGACTTGGATTTAGGGTTTTCATCACAAATTCCCTGGTACGGTCGAGTGGGGAAAGTTAACTCTTCCTCTCGAAATGATCTCACATGGCCACGTGCATACAACCACTGACAGGGAAGTCCTACTCACTGCCTTCTCGTGGCGGGGGTGTTGTTTACGAAATGGGGAGGACGAAAAGCGAATGTCTGGTGTTTTAACCGGGTTGGTGGATATGAAGGATCCACCTAGAGGAGTTAATAAACCTTGATTCCAAACCAATACTCCACATGGGCTCAAGGATCCTGAGGGAACAAATGGCGTATAAACCAATTATGGGTCACTGGTCACCATGGGACTACATCTCCTGACGTTGCTCCACTGCCTTGTGGATCAGACCTTTAAGTCAAAGGCTCCGAGTGTGATACCCTAAGAAAACCACCTGCTTCGGTTTGGGCACCCGGACAGTATCCTAGACCTCACACAAATAAAATGAAAATTACGATATTTACTGAAAATTCTATTCACGCTTCGATTAACAGTCAAACAATTCACATTGTTGTTATTATTATTATTTACTGCGACATCTATTCACTCTCTTTTATTCCCACTTTGTGTATCCTTATTTTTCAACTTATACAGAAGCTCGCCTATGGTGGAAACGCGGTTCTATCTAAACGTTCTCGAGTCACTGCCTGGTTGAAAATTAACTCAAGTTGGTTGACATATATCGGTACTTGGTTTTAATGTGTCTATTGAGATTTAATTCATAGGCAATTGTAAGTAATGACATTTCTAAATTCTGTTGCAAACTCAAGAGGATTAAAGTAACTCTATTTAGGTGGAAAAAAAAGTTGCTAACTTACTTTATCAATTACAATCAGATCATTCAAAAACGCAGATTAAAAATCATTTACGAAACCGTAAAGCTGTGAATGAGGTACTCAACTAGTTGGAAACTTAAACTACCACGGTTTGAACAGTCATAGCAAATCCGTTAGCTTTCTCCCATTATTAGATATACTACTGTATACGCTGGTGCTAATAAAAACATTTGCATAATCAGTGAACTGTACTTATACACTCGATATATTCCAGGCTTCAAATTGTTATAATGACTTGGACAAACACGCTAAACATTTTCATATTTTGCTCTAAACTGTTAAGAAGTTTTTACTTTACAGGATTAGATCTTTTGTTTTGCGGTACATACTGACTGACTTATTTTCAAATTAGTCAATGGGTTTAAGAATATAGAATAAGTATTTTACATATAAAACATAGAAATAACCAAATAAACGCAATATTTACATTTATGCCAGCCATAAACTGATCTAGAGGATCATCTGAATCATCTGACTGAACATCAGCTTGATCTGGACGTTTGGTAGCAGCTGGACTTCCTGGAGCAGGTTGATATTCTAAATTATTTGTGTCATCATCTTCTAAGAAGTAACTAGATAGTAAAAAGAAACACGACTGTTAATGTGGTTAGAACGAATAGTCTAGAAAACACTTGCAAGTTGAAATATTCCTATTTTAAGATAGCAGAGCTTAATAAGCTGAGTTGATGTAAAGAACAGACTTTCCAATGATATTCTGGTTGTTATTTAAAACGAAGTTTCATTCACGAATGCTTGCTCGAGCAGTACTATTCAAGGAAGCTTTCAAGCTAACTTAAGATTTAGAGGGGTTCCAAAAAATAGACAATGATTAGGTCGAATAAGTCTTTTTATCAAACGATTCCAAGAAAGCATAAATGTATATGTTGGTTAATGAAAAAAAGGACTATGTCCTAAATAACAAATCCTTTAACGACATCATAGTCATCATACAAAAAATGGCTTCATCTACAAGTGCTTAGGTAGTACACAAATTTATGAGCTTCTTGTACGAAAGGGATCTTCTTCCAGAAAACAGAGACATAAATAAACCTACACTTTCAAATATAATTACCATAATTAGTGGCACAGGATACACTGACAATGAAGGCATACCCGAAACAACAAACACTATATGAGGTCACAACGTAAATGTAAATTTTCTAGCAGAGAGTATTTAACTTAATAGAAATAATTCATAGAAATAAAAAAGCAGAAAGCGATTCAGTAAAATCTTCTTAGGTGATTTTATTCTTGAAGTTGCATAATCCCAATGGTCAAATGGCCATTAGATGGCAAATTTGAAGTCTATTTCGCCTACATGTTGGTTTAGGAAACCGAGTGCAATCACTAGTTTTTATTCAAAACATGAATATGAAAACTCATAAAACAAAATCTTGTATTTAATTATTGAATAATATTTTCTGCTATTGATTGTAATCACAATTATATGCTATTTTTCAATGATTATTAAACTGTAGACGGTTGTACGGACTCCATAAAAACTGATGAGATCTATTTTTCTGAACTGATTTCTCGTGTTTTGTAAGAGTAGAACGAAGGATGATAAGCACGATATAACAAAATGATTATCATGTTTATTTCGAGTATCACCACAAAGCCCTACAGTAAAGTATGAAAATATGTTGAATTTATGCTTGGCCTGAGAATGCAGAATTTTAAAAAGCTTGGAATATCCTTTTAAGTTAGATTGAAGAATACAGTACCATAACTTAGTGAATACAACTAGACATTTATTACACCAAGTTGTAGCACAGACAACAAATAAAAATATTACATATTTAATCTCTCATTGATTCTTCCGTACAGTATACACAACTGGGGAAATTAAGCACTAATCAGGTCAATAAAATACGTGCAATTAGTAAAACATAAAACTCACTCATCCTCGTCTGCTACTCTTTTGCGACCTAAATTAGCAAAAGCCCGCGTTGAACCTCCCTGTGTCCCGGCAAATGCACTGTGATTTATTAGGACTTCATTGGGATCTGAATAACCTCTACTATTACGAGAACCAAGAGATGGCGGTGGTGGGACAGATGCACCTCCGGTTCTAATAAAGTTTGGTTTTGTATTTTTGTAATCTTCGCATTGTCTATTTACATCAGACTTTTCGTCCTTGAATACAGAATGAGTTGACAAACTATGTTGGGGACCCGAGCCAGATATGAAATTCATACCCCATCTACCTCCACGTTTACCGTATGACATTGGAAAGTATTGTATCGAAGAATATACTTGCACGTGTAATTGTCAATTATGAAAACTGTAAACAAAATAAGTAAGATAAGCACTAAATGGAAACCCTGCAGATCTGATTGGCAAGGGGTATATATATATATATATATATATATATATATATATATATATATATATATATATATATATATATATATCAGTATAACCCAATCCAACGGTCAAGAATTTCGCTAACTAATATCATGTCATGGTTTGCCTATTCTTAGCCTATTACCGATTTATTGCTGTCTGAATTGGATTCGACCATCACATTCCTTTAAATTTTAGGCTGTTATTTTGTGCTTTATATCCTACGACATCATTGGTCCCTTCCAGACTATATTCTCTACTTTTCACTTTTCGCTACAATTAATATCATTGTCTTCTATACTTTTAACTTGTATCGATATAGATTTGTGACAGAAAGCTATCTACTTTCATAAGGCCAAACGTTCAGACGTAATCCGTGTGGAGGATTTCAATATTCAAATAGGTAGTGATCGGGACCAAAGTGAGAGACACTAAGTGAGTCTCACAGTACCTTAACTGACCGAACAGACAGTGGAAACTGTTTGGTGCAACTACACAGGGACAAACGTTTATTTTTAGTAAGTACCAACTTTAAGCATGAAGAACGATGATGGATGTAAATAAATCCTATTTTTATCGACTACCATTGGGGAAGACCGACAAAAGACCGTTGATAATTTTAGAGTACATGTTCAGACTTTAATTATCTCTAAGCGGGACCACATGTATGTCTGAGTATTAATGAATGTGGAAAAAGTGAGGTAGGAAGATCACTTGTAGTTCAGCTTAACAACTAAATCTCAAGATTATATTTCAGGAATAACCAGATAGTCAGTTAGGTAATCATCAAAGTGACGTTCACCTAGATGTGTATTGGTATGATAGACAGGCTGTTGTAAAGACAGAAGTGATACTTACGAGTGACCATAACCAAAAATTTAAGAAATATCAGTGGATTGCTGTAGCATCTACTGAACTGATAGATACTTGGAAATGCGTCCAATCAAACTTTGAATACGATAAGTGAGGGCAGCTCAAATGTAGACTGACAAAAGTCTAAACTGATTACGAGCAGTGGTGGACAATGAAAGAAAAAAAAGGTAAAAAGGGCAGCAAAGATAGATAATACTAGACAACTCTCTACCTTCTATTCCCAGTCAACCTGAGTGGCAAAGTGACACAAAATCCCTTACTCTTAATGATGCTGAAATGGATTTAGGTAATCTAAAACAAGAGAGAGGACAGACCTTGATCATTGGTATCTTTGAGGATGATGGTCAAATTTTAGCAGTTAGACTGAATGGGATATTAACTAGGATTTGGAAAATGGACATAATCCCATCTGAACGGTATCGATTATGGATCTTTCCAGTCTATAAGGATGAAAACCCTTCTGTAATAACCACAGTTGGATCAGTTTGACCAATATAGTGTCGAAAATACTAACTTCGATAATCACCTGACACATAATTACGGCTTGTGAAGAGCAAATTTGGGAGAACCAGTCTGGTTTCAGGTATCTGCCCTTCGCCAGGTTGTGAAATAAAGACACACCAACCAGCTCCTCTAAAAAAGCATTCGATCCCGCAGATCGATAGGTTTTATTTCAATGTCTGTCACTCAAGGATCTACCAATCTTGAAAAGGTTCTCTACTCGAAGACTATTGGTCAAGCTAAGCGGTGTGTCTGGGTTGTCTTTTTTCATTTTTATTTAGCTTTCTCGTAGATATTCTTTTGGAGGTAAGGCTTACACTGTCTGACTTTTAGATGACTAAGGATGTGAAGTGCTGGTAGCATTTAAGTTCCCAGTAATCTGAAGGAGATACATTTAACGCATGTATGTGCAGAATGCAGATTTCGAAATTATGACCATAAACTGACTTTGTAACTTACTTTTAGACACCCACTAAAGTTCTTATAATCTTTAGAAGTGAAAGGAAAAATAATCATCATTTCGTACTACTCTACGTAAATCCCGATAAATCCAGTGAAAACTGGGTGAAAAGACACTATATCAAACTGGCTGGCAGTGCTCATCATAGCAACTAGAGCGAATTTGGTTTGAGAGCAGTTTAGCCATATTTAACTTTGGATTTGAGATCATATAGGACTAAAACATAAATCCTATACTAACCTCAACGTAACCGCAATGGGAATATCATGAGATTTCGCCGCACTTTCCTCTAACGTGCCTTTAATGGAGACCATATGCCTTGTATGTGATCATATTGAAAATAACAATCTGATACTGATTTTCCAGAACACTACTTAAAGGAGTTGTGCCGTGCTTCTATGTATACCTCTTCTCCATATTTATTTAGTTATTTATTTTAGCACAAATATTGGTACAAGGAGGCACCAAATACATATGCGCCACACAGATCTCATTGGATATGTGTGAGGGCTGTGATACTGCCTGGGTGCCAAAACCGAAGCAGGTGGTTTTCTTAGGGGGCCACACCCTAAGACTTCAACCTGAAGATCTGATCCACAAGGCAGTGGAGCATCGTAAGGAGATGCAGTCCCATGGTAGCTGGTGACCAACGATTGGTTCATACACCATTTGTTCCTTCAGGATACTGGAGCCCATGTGCACCATTGGTTTGGGATCCGGTTAAAGCGCCGGACATTCGCCTTTTGTCCTCTCATTTTCGTAAAGAACAGTAGTGCCACGAGAAGGCAGTGAGTAGGACTTCCCTGGCAGAAGCTATATATGCGTGGCCATGTGATAGCATTTTGAGAGGGAGAGCGGACTCTCCCCACTCTCGGCCGTACCAGGGCGTTTGGGGGCCTCTCCTCTCCTTCATATCACTCCTCTCCATAAGGGCATACCGGATTCACCAACTGAGTTTGGTTGGATGGGGCACCTAAAGGGATCACTCCGGCAATGTACGTTTAACGCTCAGTTTAGATTTAATAATGAGTTCTACAGACAAAACTGATGAGATCCCCATGGGTTCATTACTCGACCCTCCTCAAACGAGTTGTTTCATGACCAATCTTGAGAACACGGTAATCCAACCGACGATTGATAACTATTACTTATACAGAAGGTTTATGGATGACAGTATTATTTGCAGTAAGAACAGTGACCTCAATATCAACCTAAATAGGTTAAATGGCTGTCATAAATCCATCGAATTTACACTGAAACCAGAATCAAACACAAAATTTCATTTCCTCGATGTCTTATGAAATAGAAAACAAGATAGTATATTGCAAAGGTCTATATACCGGGAACTAACTTGGAACGAACAATAAACAAATATTCACAGCTGGGTCCCTTTAAGTAGAAAGAGAAACTTAATCCAATCTTTATGATAAAGGGCTAGAAGAATATACTCAGAAGATACGACAGGTAAGGGACTGTCTTATTCATTTGGCTAGATAGCGTTTTGGCATCCTAGCTGATGTTTATAACACTCCTCCAACACACAAGAAACTTTCAAGCTAGACGTAAGCCTACCCAAGGCTAGACAGTACACTTCTAGCAGGTGCACTGTTTTCGTGCTGTTTTCAGAAAAGAAATCGTATTTGGCCTTTTGTATCTACGCGATGTGCCGGAAATCATATGTTTATATAGTTTGCTAGACGAAATAAACGTGTCGGGTTTCTAGGGCTAAGCAACAATGCGTTAGCGTAGAACCTTGCACATTATTATATATGTAGTTGTATTGGATTAAAAAAAGTACCTACTACATAGAATTCTACTCTGCATCACTTTACAAACATGAAACATGATTGATGAAGCCGGAGGAAATGCTTGGGTTCCAAGTGCTTCGGCACGTATGGTGTTCTAAGGGCACTACTTGTGTATGATGAGAATGTTATATGACTAATGCTAACCACTCAACCTTACTCTGCCCAATGTGCTCATTCGCTCTCTTGAGCAGCCAGATATATTTCTGTGTGACTCGTCAATCACTACTTGTTTATTGGAAAGAATTATGCTTTGTGTGTGGTGAAAATGGAGAGCTTAACTTGTTCAATGTGCAACCTGGAATTGGTGATTCGTAAACATCCAAATGGGACTTTGAAACGACACGCCCTATAAAACTGGTCAGGTGTAAATTTAGGTTTAGAATATGTCGACCAAGTATACAGTATCTTTCAGATCCTACATTTCAAATGTACTTTCTGTCACTTGACATTCCGTTTTTCTCTTTTCCCTAACACTAATTTGTTTGTTGTGCGATAGAGTAGGATGGTGATACAGATAAACATGCTACTATGATTAACAAGGGTTTTTGAAAATATCTTATAGGCTTTGAATGATGGAGTATTTTATATATGTGGACTGAGTTACTATGTTCATCGTAATTATTTAAGCTCTTGTCTCAATTTTGTTAATTTTTCGTGCGCTTTTGGCTCCGTTTCTGTTTGTTATTTGGTTCTTTCGATTGCAAGAAATTTCATTTTGTCCTACGTTAACTGTAAAGCTGCGGGAGTGTTGTTTACGAAAATGAGAGGACGATAAGCGAATGTCCGGCGCTATAACCGGATCCCAAACCAATGGTGCACATGGGCTCCAGTATCCTGAAGGAACAAATGGTGTATGAACCAATCGTTGGTCACCGGCTGCCATGAGACTGCATGTCCTTACAATGCTCCACTGCCTCGTGGATCAGACCTTCAGGTCGAAGGCTCGGGGTGTGGCCCCCTAAGAAAACCACGTGGTTCGGTTTGGGCACCCGGGCAGTACTATAGCCCTCACACATATCCAATGAGATCTGTGTGGCGCATATGTATTTGGTGCCTTCTTGTACCGATATCTATGTGTTAAAATAAATAAAGGGACTGTCTTACCGTCGACGGAAATTCCCAAAAGACGGCTATTCATCCAGATTTATTGAGTAACGTGAATCCTAAATTATAATCTACGAAACCTCATGCACTTTCTAAGAAAACTCTCTTTGTGGACATTGAACCCAAG